GCATTTATGTCACATTTTGAAAGTTTTTGTTTTTTATTCCCCCCTCGAAAGAAAATAGCTTAAGTTTTTAAAAAGTTAACATGTGGTCATGTAGAAAACCTAAGTAAAATAAAAGTGCAAAGTGTAGATCTCTATGCAAAGACAACCCTATAAACATTTGAGATAAAGTCCTTGTGCACATTGCTTTCTGCACGTTTTGAAGGACTTAGGTAAACAGTGTACTGTAGGTGCTACTTCTAATCTTCTTTTTTATAGTACTGTGAAAATTTTAAGTTCACAGGGATCCCTTGAAGTAAAAAAAAGTCAGGCATTACTTCTGTTTCATAGGTATCAAAGTGAGGTATCCAGAGTCACAGAGCTAATAAGAAAGCCAAAGTTCACATTCCTCACTTTGAGCAAAGTATTGTTTGTATCAGATAAAATATAAAGAACTCATTTAATATGTCAACGAAAATTTTTTCCCTGTGTATGTTGGAATTTCCCTCTGCTAGAATTTTGGGGTATGATGTACATTCATCCACATTTTCATGCATTGAGGTTTGGCTGCCTTCTTGCTTTACTTAATTTTAGAGCTAAGATTCAGGGTATGGGGGGTCCCCTGGGATGGAATCCCCCTCCCCATCTCACCACCATTTTCATTTCAATATGATGTGATCTGATGGGTTTCTCTTTGGTGATACTTTATTTGGATTCCTAAAGAAAAATTTTTAAAGATAATAATAGCTAATGTTTATTGAGCACTATGTCAGAAAAAGATCTAAATTTTTTAACAGCTTTTTTGAGATTTAATTCATGTACCATACAATTCACCCTCTTAAAGTGTACCAGTCAGTAGTTTTTAGTATATTAAAGAGGTGTACACCCATCATCACAATCAATTTTAGAACATTTCATCACCCCAAATAGAAATCTTGTACTCATGAGCGTCACTCCCCAGTTCTCCCTCTTCTACCCAGCCCTGAGTAATTGCTAATCTACTTTCCATCTCTGTGGATTTGTCATTTTATATAGATGGAATCAGGCAATATGTGATCTTTTTATATCTGGCGTCTTTCACTTTATATAATGTTTTCAAGGTTCATGCATGTTGTAGCACGTATCAGTGTTTCATTCCTTCTTATGGCTGAATAAATATTCCATTGTATGGGTAGACCACATTTTCTTTTATTTTTTGTCTTTTTCATGACCGGTAAGGGGAACGCAACCCCTTGGTGTGGTGTCGCCCACACCGCGCTCAACCAGCAAGTGCACGCACCGGCCAGTCCTATATAGGATCCGAACCCACAGTGGGAGCGTCGCTGCGCTCCCAGCG